ACCCTCTATAATGCAGTACAGTAGGTGGGGCCATTTTTACCGGGGCATTTTTTCTCTGTCTATTTTTTCAGGGGCCTTTTTTTCAAGGACCGCTTTTTCCGGGACCACTTTTTACCTACATTCTAATACAGTGACTGCTGTACAATAATAATTTGTTATGTTTGAAAAGTGTGTAACATAAGAACAAAATAAAAACATCTTGAGCCTGAAATGGCCAAAAAATAAGAACACTGAGCCTGAGAAAATTTTTACTAGTTATTATTTAAAAAAAAAAAAGTGTAGTTTCTCTCCCTTCATCTTGATGGATCACACATCGTGGAGCGAACTCATTTTTAAGGTGCGTACCTGTATTGGCTTATAGCAAAGAGTATAAATAGAACAAGAGAGCAAAGTCCCGTTCGTAAAAACGTCATGCCTGTGTAGGACGCCAACTAACGGTTGTATATTCTTTTTATTACCCAGTGCAGCGCTGCGCAGCGCGGTAGAAGTACGCCCGCTATAAACTCAGTAAGCAGAAAACAAAAGCACAGTATCTTGTGGAGAACAGATAAACAGACAAACCTACAGCGCGCGGTGCAGTACTGGGTAATAAAACATATACAAGCGTTAGTTGGCGTCCTACACTAGCTGCGTAGAGCGTATCGTTTTTTTACGCTCCCAATGAGCGTTGTTGGCTCTCTTGTTCTATTTATACTCTTTGCTTATAGGTAGCAGCTGGTAAATCATAGGAAATAACATTCAAATCAAGTTTTTGCTGGTTACCTTTAGGAACACAGCAGATAATTTATACAGTATATACATCAAATCAATACTAATACAGTATTCAAATAATATATAGGAACATGATGTTTTAATTCGTATCAAACATAGTTCATCAACGAAAGTTCCTTATTAGTTGTATGGAAAAAGAGGTCTATCTGGTTTGAATCGAACCCACAATCTCTCGCTATCACGGAGAGCGTCATACAACACAGAGGTCCGTACAATATTATTACGGATTTATAAGAACACTGTCTCTCTCTCCATTCATACAGCTTGAGGGCTCACACATCGTGAAGCGGACTTATTTTTAAGCTACGTACCGGTATTGGCTTATTTATAGGTAGCAGCTGGTAAATCATAGGAAATAATATTCAAATCAGGATTTTGCTGCCTAGCACTCTGGGAACACTGCAGATAATGTACCGTTACATCAAATAGATATTAATACAGTCCTGTTTGTATGAAAAAGAGGTCTCTGGAGAGAATCGAACCCGCAATTTTTCGCTATTTCGGCGAGCGTCATACCGCTTAGACCACAGACGAGACGCTCGTACCACAAGACTCGATTTAAAGTTTATCTCTATGTGTGAGTATGGAAGGCAATCGCCGCCAAAAATACTGTTACAAACGAACAGCCTACTCGCAGAAACGAACAACTTACTCACAGAAACAAACAACCTACTCAAAGAAACGAACAGCATACTCGCAGAAACGAACAATCTACTCGCAGAAACAAACATTCTACTCGCGGAAACGAACAATGTAGTCGCAGAAATGGATGCGCACGGTACTCGCAGAAAAGGACAATGGAATCGTCCATTTTAAGATAGGTAAGCAAAATCTCTTTGGTTGTACCTGTTAGATTAGATTTTGTTCCCCTTCCTGAATGGGTGCCATATCGTCGAGCAACATTGCAATATGACAATATAAATATTTTGTATATACAGTGTTAACGGCTAACTTCCTTCAATATTATATATATATATATATATATATTTATTTATTTATATATATATAATCAATATAATATATATATATATAATATACAATCATATATATATAATCATTGTTTCTTTATTCGAGAACTGTTTCTATCATTATTTGACTATTTGATAGTATCTATAGAACGTTTCCTGCATGAAATATTTTCGATATTCTGACGTAAATTATTCCAAATCAATGTAAATCAGCTGTAAACGTTAAAACCGAACGCTGAACCAGGGCATTCTGCTGCTAAACAGGCGTCGAAACTGATTAAAACAGTACAATGAGCTTACATTTATCAGGAAGTTGTCATTAACTATGAGCCCGGTTGTTGTTTTAATTTCTCGGCAGCTCCTCGGACATCAACTTTATAAAGTTTAATTAATTATTATATTTTTTGGGGAAATACGTTAGCACATTGATAACCTCAGATATTTTCTGTGTGACCCGAAAGTAAGATTAGGCGAAATTTGGTAGAATTTACGATCGCCTGACAGAAAGTCTGCCAATTGGAACCTGACGTAATATGGCGTAATATACGGTAATCGATCTAAGTACCATTGTATTGTACTAATTATAATAATAAAAGTTGTATTTATATAATGGAATAAGCCAAAGTTTTACGGTTACGCGTTTCCACGGCCGTGTAGGCCTACAGATATTTTTGGCCTGTCCCGACCGACATGTTTCATAACAAGAAAATTCAATTTCAATTGCGCTGCAACAAAACTTTATTGTTATACAGAAACTAATTAAGAGGACCAGAAGGTCAACAACGTAGGTCTAATGCGTATTCAGTGATGGCGCCAGGACCTGCCCGACGGAGTGGCTAAAAGCCCCGACGGAGGGGGGAGGGGAGTAGAGCGAATCTCACTTGGCTGGGAGAAAGGGGGCCGCCTAGGGCCCCCTGGAAGCCACGGATATTTGACTAATTATGGCGAATTTTTATTACTTATTTGATAGGCATCGAGCTACACTATAATATGACTTCATGTAGGCTATGTTTTCTAATGTCAAAATCAGCTTCCAAAAGCAAAACATTTTAAATAAAACAAGAAACAAAGAGTGTGCAATGTAACCATCTAATTTATTTTCAAATCCTCATTCTTGAAAGTGAAATTCTAGTTTTGTTTCTGGAGTTAAATCTCACATTGAATCCATTTGTCTACTGCATGGCATGCAATGATTTTCAACGTGGACTTCGCAAGATTAGATATGACATAATCCATGGATTGGAGAACACACGCGTTCCCCAACAGTGATCGTGTGACTTGTTGTTAATATTAACAAAATGCAATCAGTGTAAAAGTATAGAACAGAAATGTGTTCAAACACACTATTGATAACTGGTAAGTTCATTCACATGAGGAAGTGTAATATATATACATGAACAATTTGTGTTAATAACAATCTCTCAATGGTCTCATAGTGCTTTTGCTTAATATTGTAATATCGTAATAGACTATTATACTGATCACCTTACTAGTATTTTCTGAATAGAATTCGTGGAATAATAATAATAAAATAAATTACTATTTGCTGTTGTATTTATGGTATAGTGCACTGGTGTGTGTCGTAATGTTTGTAAACACATTAGAGAGTTGTACAGTACCGTACTCTACAGTTCACAAAAGTATAAAAATAATTGTCACCTATGCAAACACGGGCAAACAATTGGTGCATTTGTAGAAACTGCTCAGTAAAAAGTCAAGTGAAGAAAAAATATCAAAAAATAAATATTTATTCATCTATAAATCGAATCTCAATGTGAATTATCTTTGCAAATTTTAGATATTATTTTTATCATCCTCATCAATCATCATCGTCGTCATTAGCATCAATGTACTTTTTGTAAAAAATCAGTAGAAACTATAGAACATCTCTTTATAAATGTCAATGTGTAAAAGAGATATGGACTTACGTAAGCATATTGATAGGTTTGTATCGACTACCAAACTAAATAAACAAATTATACTGTTAGGAATAAGTAAACCAAATAGCGAAGCTTTCAACTATATTTTGTTACTTGTAAAACAATTTATTTATGCAAAAAGGTTGTTAAAGAAAAAACCTGATTCTCAGAGACTTAAAATGTTTTTAAGATCAAAAATATCAGTAGAGAAAGGTATAACAGAAAAAGAAAAAAATATATTTTTTTCACTTCATTATTAAAGGAAATTAATATTTTATAATTTAATTTTTATCTGCCCGTCACCACAATCTTATTTTTTTTTAACTGTTGTTCTCTTTTTGAATTTACAATGATGTACTCTTGTTTTGTTTTTGTTTTTTCTGTAATCAATGAAAGAAATTAATAAAATATACGGTTTAGTTTAAATTATCTTTATTTTACCAATAAATGATATTTAAAGCGTGCTATTTTGGCGATCCCGTCAAGTTCAATTGCTTAAGATAAGGGCGTGTCATAATGATATCTGTTATTTGCGGTGGTGCATGCGAAAAAAGGTGTGAAAGATCAGTTACTTTATTCGGAGTTGAGTTCCCAACGAAGCCATAGTGACCCGGTTAATGGCTAAGGCTTCTGTACATACACACAGCGAATTAAATTTAAAGTGTTTGGCTTCAATTACCGGTAATGACGCAAAGAATACTATTTGAAAGATTGTAAACAAAACCCAGAGTAGTATACGGTCATGAAAATATTCATGAAAAAGAATAAGAAGCGATTAATTAGAGCTTTCATCGATAAATGATCAGCTTTATTTACAAGTCTTGTGGGAAAAACACATGAATGATACTGTATACGTTTAATAATTTCTATTTGTATTTACTTCATTGTTTCATTTCTTTTACCTAATATCCAGGGCCCCTGTCGGCCTCGGGCTCCTGGGCACTTGCCCGTAAGGCCCGGCCTTTTTGCGCCACTGACAGAAGACATAGAAATCAATAACTGCCTTCCACACAAATATGTTTTTGCCCTTCATGATAAACTGTTTGAAGTCTGGGTTAGAGAAGTGCTTCTGCTGCTAAGTTTGCCTAAGGCTATATCCCACTGAGACCCCATTCTGCTACTATAACAATATTTACCACTGGAAACTTTTAACTGTCATCCATATACGAACATGTGCGTAATATTACAAAAGGGACACATATATGAGCTTATTAGTTTTCCTGTGATATTGTTCAAGGTAATTCAATGTGCAAAATATAAAACATATCTATTATTATCATATAAAAGTGATCGAATTAAGTACGCACATTCTGTTGCATATTTGTGTTTTCGTTGATTTCAGATGACGTCTAACAAGACAAGCTGCGGTGCGACAGTGTACCACGATTATGAAAATGAGAAGATAGCGGTGTTGGTACATATTATCATATACAGTATTGTCTTCGCCCTCCTTGCTATCATTTCACTTGTCTGCTTGATTCGATTAAAAGTAAGAATGCACATTGCATTTTAAATATAGTTTCTTCTTAAAATGAACACTAGGCCTATGATCAAATAATGCTATGCTTTTATCTCCTCAGGTGAGACAGACAGTCACGCCGTTAGTTACAGCGTTATTTGTTACCATATCAGCATTCTGTATTTGGCGATTCCTGTACATAGTTGTTGATAGATATGGAATTAATCATAGGCTGCATCCATTGTTTGATCGGTTGTTAGCGGACTTGCCATATCCCTTTGTAACTTCGTCATTCGCGTTGCTCATTTGGTTTCTCGTACAGTGCTATAAGCCGAGGCGCATAAGCCGGCGACTGTTTGCGTATCCCTGGATTTTCTTAGCGATTGGTATACACTTTGGCGTGGTTAGCGTCGTTAGCATGCTGGTGGTATTCACAGATACTTGCATAATGCTTACAGTCTGTCACTTTTTAACTTTAACGTGGAGTTTAATTGTTATTGGGTGCTTCATATACATACTCCGTAATATTATCGTCACTGATCTTGAGACACGCGATGTTCTAGAAGCATCGCGTAATTCTCGATCAATTGAACGATCTTCGGGCTTCAAGTGGGCATATACTTGTCCTGGCTGGTTACTAATGGACATCTCAGATACAAATCCCAAAATTAAAAAACTCATCTACGTGTCCAGAGCATCGATATCTCTTCATGTTGTTTTTGCAATTATTACAACTTTCGCAATGCTTTTTCTTGCTAATCCTGCTTTTGAGATATCAGATGAAGGGCGACTTTTCACGATTTGGTTCACGTACGAAACTATGGCAAGGTGAGTATTTCAACAGTACGAGAGTTTTTTTCACAAACAAGTGCTTGTATCGCAGATTTTTTGCGTAAATACGTAAGCAATGTTACTCAAATACAACAGGGGCACTGTACGAACTAATGTTTTCATTAATGACGAACAGAAATCTGATTATATTTGAATGGTGTACACTAATTGTTATAGCTTGTTTTTATTATTTTTTTGTTAGTAGTCATCATTTAGTAAACTACCACATTTGCCTAAATAATAATAATAATAATAACAATAATAATAATAATAATACAATAATAATAATAATAATAATAATAATAATAATAATAGAGTAGTAGTAGTTCATTCTTATATAGCGCAAGTAAGTCAGCTCTCAGTCTGCTGATCAGTAATGCTGCCAGAATTTCTCCGTCAAGTTATCCAAGGTCCTTGACAGGGGTGTAAGGTTTATAAAAAGAGTCCAAGTTTCCTGACAGGGTTCCAAATTCACCACAATCCCACGGTGTTCCGGGTCAATTTTAGGAATAAAGCACCTCCAGATGCTCTGAAATGGCACTGTCTGACTGTAAATTGGCTTATTTAAAGCAATGTTCCCGAAGAAATAATTAAAGAAGTCGGATTTTATCTCTGACGGGGGTCCAGAGTTTCCGGACTGGGGTGGGGTCCTGTGCCCTTCAACCCCAACTCTTCGCTGGTGCCACCACTGTGGATTTACTGTGATTCTGCTGCTAATGTTGTTGATATTATTTCTTACTATTATAATATTTAATTATTAATATTCTTATTTTCGTTATTATTCTTATCATTCTAGATCAGTCGAGGCAGCAATGGTATTGACACTGTTGTATTTGGTGGCCTATAAAAGAACCATTCCAAGTTCAGCCTCAATAAGGGCGTTAACACAGACGTCAAGCACGATATCCCAGTCCCAGGCAAACCTAATATCAGAGGCACAGTCAAACGATCTTCATGATAGTTCAGTTTAAATTCAAGACGTAAAAACGAGAATCAATTACAAAACCTGAAAGTATTCAAGAATAGTTAAATAAGAATAGTTTGAACTGCTCATATCCAAGGTCAATTGACATAACATATGTTGTGTGATGTTTGTTTATTTCGATTGGCCTTGATACGAGAATGCGCAGTTCAAACTACAAATTGGCTTATTGCATGTTGGCTCGAGTAGATAGGGCTACTTCAGGTCCTGTCAACTCATCAAGTCACCGTTTTTACTTACTCGACATAGTCTTTTTAATAGACATATCATCATATCATATCACATCATATCATATCATATTTATCATAGTTTTTATTATAGTTTTTCCTTTTAAGAAAAATAAGCTTAAACAACCAAAACACTTTGTTTGTTGTTGATTTCAACTTTTTCTATTTTTCCCTCACGTCGACCGAAACTATACAGGCATCGTAGCAGTCCATTGCCTGACTAAGGCAGTCGAAATGTCACCCAGTAAGTCCGTTTTGTTGTTGCTATTTCTTGTTTTTAGAAATAAGAAAGTTGAAATCATCCACAAAAATTTTACAATTCAGATAGATTTCTTTTGAACTTTCAAAGAGAACATAGATCAAAACAATTCAGTTTCACTGATTTTTGCAGACGATTTAAAGTCCTGTCATTCCAAGTGTCTATGCAATAGAATATTTACTATTTATGATAGCATGTTTTCAGTTTTATATTTATCTTAAAATTATATAATTATCAGTAATTGTATTAGTATTACATTTTTATATTATTTTGTATTCTTTCTCCGGGGAACTGTATTTGAGGCCAATACCTATGGAACGCCGCTAACCGCTATAAAATAGAAATCTCTTTACACTGTTAAAAAGTGTGGAGATTTAAACACAAAGCTCCACCCATTCGTCCCACATTTTTAGGTGTAGCAATAAATATGCTTAGGTAAAATATCATATAAAATATCTAAGCACATTTTAGTGTTAATACATCCAGATTCTAATCATATCAAGCTACACTGTATGTACAAAACACGTTTAGTAGCGGGACAGTAGTGCGTGGAGCTTCGAGTCCTCCACTCTGTTTTTAAGGGATCCTTGGTCCCTTAAGCACCCCATACCTCTTTCTGATTATTCAAGCACATTTTGTTTTTAATTGAATGGAGATAAAGCTTGGTGATTAAGATGCTTACATTTCAATACCAGCCAATATTTCTATTGAAAAGAAGAAACAACTCCATTTCCTAAGCCTTCTAACGGGTTTGCGGTTGTAAAGAACACTTTTGTCCCAACCTGTACCCGGTAAGTGTAGGATGGACACAAACAAAAAAAAAATCACGAGTTTTCCAGGGGAAAAAAAAATCCAACCATCTCTATAAATGTTATCCTGCGTCATTCAATTTCTTCCGTATCGCAGTACTTGTTCCACCTCTGTCCGATATTCTCTCCATACTAATTTCCTTCCGATCTGTCAACCAATGGGCAGTGGCGTCGAGAGGGGGGTCAGCAGGGTCGCTGCCCCGGGGCCCGGGTCTACTGGGGGCCCGGACCAAGTTGAAAAATTTTTGGGGTAAGAACAAAATCTCCATAGGGCCCGAGCCCAAGCCAGGATGAAAACGTATGTTGTGAGAACAAACTCTACATTATGGTTTTATGGGCGTCTTTGCAAAAAAATAATCACATGGAATCATATTCATGTATGTGGGTTTGGACAAATAGGGTCTTAGGAGGAGACTTAATTTGGGGAGCGGCCGAGTGGGGGTCGGGTCCCGAGTGATATGGGGGGGGGGGCATGTGAGGTGTTTCCCCGGGGCCCTTACTGGCTCTCGACGCCACTGCCAATGGGCCGACTAGAGTGTCGATCAGGATCCCGGAAAAATCCTGGTAAGGTTTATGGGGAGAGTTTTATGGCCAAAAATTGTGCTTTTAGACCACAATATTAAGGATTGGCAATCAAAATAACATTTTTAATAGGCAAATCAACATTTTTGGTCCGACGACCTCGTTGTGAAGTCGGTCGTACGAAGGTGGTTGAGACCAGCTCAACGGGGAGGGGGAACAGTCCATGCACCAATTTTCCATTGGCCATAAAAATAACTTCTTTACTATCGATATTATAGTATATGTGTTATCTGACCGTAACTACATGAAGTGTTCGGATCTGCTTTTTGTATAGTAATTTAGTTACTCTTGTCATTTAGTTAATTATTTGTTAATAGTCCTGTCTTTGTTAATAGGCCTAGTTATACTGAACATTGATTTGCAATTAAAAGAAAGTTAGGCCTATGAATAGAGTGGTTGAATCCTTAACATACTGTAGTTAGCTTAAATGGTTAACTAATACCAGTACTTAGGCCTAATAATCCATCATCAAATTTAATTGTATACTGTATTATTTAAACAATCAAATATTCTTATGTAATACAAATCCTATAATAATGTGTTTGTAACGAAATTTTAAAATGACAACACCACCCTCTATAAACAAAAACATTATAATAATTATTGCTGATTTTTTCCTAATGATTCGCAAAGGGGTGACACTGTAATGGAGTTAAATTTATTCATTTGTTTACATTTGTTTACATTAGTTTATTTCTTTTTTTTTTTTTGTTTATTTGTTTGTTTCTTTATTCGGTCAGTATATTTTTTTCGTTGGTTTCATCAATTATTTTTTGTTTGTATATGTCTGTGTGGGTTTGGCTCAACACAATGTATACTCTTTCTTCTTAGTCTATAATGAAAAAAACCAAAATTAAAAGTGAAACTCGTTTTATGAAAAAAATAGCTATTTTAATAAAAGTACTGTACAGATAAAACGATTGGTTGACTTTAGGGAAAGCGAATTTTTATTATATTATTTTTAACCAACTACCTTTGGAAATCATAGGCCTATATCACCAAGAATAACAGTCATGATGATAAAGATGATGATGATGATTATGATGAGGATAATGATGATTTTGAAGACGACGGTAAATATGATAATGATGATGATGGTCATGATGATGATAATGATGAGATAGGATTACGATGCTAATGATGACGATGATGATTGATGAGGATGATAAAAATAATATCTAATAATAAATAAATATACAAATTTAATTCCGAAAGTATAGCTGCTTTTCCAACAACAGATAGGCCTATTCTATTATATATTAACCCCTTGCCCTAGCAATAACGATTAATGTATTTGCAGTTTTTTAGTAACTTAACTTACTTTATGATAAAGAATATAACACGTGAAGAGATAAACTCTAAATCGTCTTGCGGTAGTGCGTTATAATAGATAGACATATTTAATAGATTTTAAACAGTAAGGAAGAGGAATCTGTGAGTTCGGAAAAACTTCCCCAACCGGGACTTCTGCTGTCTATGTGGACGCCTTAACGTTATTTTGCTTAAAATAAAGCATCTCTTCGGAGGTCTCGTCTTCTTAAGATCAGGTCGTTTAAGAGTGTTTCACATAGGTCTCTGTTTAAACACGTGTGCGTCAAAGGCTAGTGTTGTATTGGCACTGGTAGAGTGCGAGATGAATTGCCTCCAACCGGATTCGAACTTCGAACGAAAGCCTCAATGGTCCATTTGGTTAAGGCGTCTGCATAGGCAGCAGTAGGTCCCGGGTTCTAATAATGTTATGTACCATGAATGACATAGTGTGCATGATATACTGATTTTTCCTAATCTTAAATTTAACTATGATATATTGATTAATTTCATTGTAACTGATGATGTTATGTACCACGAATGAAGTATTCCATGCACTACTGATTGTTATGTATGTTAGATTTAACTATTAATGAAATCGTTTACATGATTCTGATATTGATTTCCATGATATGAATATATAGTTATTGTTAGCGAATGTAATTAATGCATATGTTTTCAATACCGCAACTTACATAAGTAAATACTTTAATACAATTCCTTTTCGTCAAAATTAACATGAATTTTAATGTCATTTAATATTGACGTGTGATTCGTATCTGAGATAAATTTACAAAGATAATTCACATTGAGATTCGATATATAGATGAATAAATATTTATTTTATGATCTTTTTTCTTCACTTAACTTTTTACTGAGCAGTTTCTATTACACTAATGCACCAATTGTTTGCCCGTGTTTGCATAGGTGACAATGATTTTTATACTTTTTTGGACAGTAAAGTGCTGTATAACTCTCTAATGTGTTTACAAACATTACAACACACACCAATGCACTATACCATAAAATACAACAGCAAATAATAATTTATTTTATTATTATTATTCCACGAATTCTATTCAAAAAAATACTAGTATGCTAATTCGTATAATAGTCTATTACGATATTACAATATTAAGCAAAAGCACTATGCTTAATATTGTAATATCGTAATAGACTATTACGATATTACAATGTATTTTATTTACACATATTTACATATAATAGGTCAAAAATTATAGAATTCATCGACGTGACCTTCCTGGAGGTCAAAGGTCAGCACTGAGGAGTCGTATTACAAAATCACTTAAAACATCATAACTTTTCACTGGATAATCCAATTTCAATGAAATTTTGTACAGTTATTGTTTAAGTAGAACTACATGTCCTTAGATATTACAATATAAGCATGTAGTAGCAGTATTTGTAAAATGTTTGTATGTTAGTTAGTAATACAGTAACTATTTCTCTGACACTATTCTGTTCTTGTTCACCCCAAACTTAGACACTATAGTACGATGTGGCACTAGAAAGAATAAATTCTATCGTTTTATCCATGTTTGGACATTATGGATTTTCAATAATTATAAGTAGTATTCATTACCGGTATGTCATAATTATCGTACATAACATTGGCCTGGTAATTGCCGTAATATGTCGTAATTATTAGCCTAAATTAATTACTTGCATGGTCGTCTTCGTTAAGTAGGATTTTACCGCGCTAATGATTTCGTAATTATTAATGTCGTAATTATTAGAACAAATCAATTACCTAACAATGGCCGTATACGACTGGCCGTTCTTCGTTAAACCACGCCCACCTGCGCAGCGGTAACATCCTACTTAACGAAGACGACCAGTCGAATAGGAAACTTGTAAATACTCGTCAAAACAAAATGGCTTGATAGTTACCGCGATACACGCTACGAGTCCAAATTGCTTCAGCTAGTGGCAGTATACCGGTAGGTTCTTTGTAAAAAATTAAAAAAAAATCATCCAGTTTTTGGATTCTCTTAGCCTACAATTATTTTTTGACTTCATGTGGGTAAATATTATAATTTTTTATTTTCTGAAATTTAATCTAAATAATATTAACGCAAATGTTGTTTCTAAACTCACTAATCGGCCATGTGTGTTTTGTTCACGTGGATGACTTAAGTCTATTTTACGAACCAGTCATATGAAAATAACACTCAACGAAAAATCTTAATCAACGAAATGAACCAGTAGAATACGCCCACTGAGTGTGACTGTGAATGTTAATTGCTTCCTTGAATTCAGAATCTCGTAATGGGAAAATACTTGGCCTTATACCT